TTTTTTTTTTTTTTTTTTTTTTTCATAAAAACCCAATCAAAGAGTTCATGAGAGATAATGGTCTTTATCTCTAGAAGGACCATCTTGGATAAGCCGCTTTCAAGAAATTGTCGGCTTTAATTGATGGCATATTTATAGCTTTCTTTGGTACACTGACGCGCATAATCCTATTCCAGTCTACAGTACACTGACCCGCATTTGAACATCCTGTGTTATAATAATTTGTTCTAATTTGTTCAAAAGTATTGTTGTTGCGGTAAATATTGACGGTGAGAGCCTATGTAAAAAAGTTAACGTATGACCTTAAAGTCCATCTTGGCAAAGCTAATCCAGTTTCTTAGACAATGTATAGTTTTGAATGCTAGTGGACTTGGAATAAATGTTACTCTTGAGTGTCCTGCATTTCTTATTATTTCTGGATATGCAGGTCAGTAGAGATTAACATTATCTATGTTTATCATGCATAGATATATGTTCTTAATTAATAGTCCTTAATATTTTGTTCATATTTTATGAATATTATCACGACATCTTAAGAAGTTAAGTCCATCTTGGCAAAGCTAAATCAGTCTTGTAGGCAATGTTTAGTTTTGAATGCTAATGGACTCACAACAAATGTCACTCTAGACTGTTCTGAACTTTATGTATTTTGTGGAGATTCAGATCAGTAGAGATGAAACATTGACTTTGCTTATTGATTGAATTTATTTGAAGTGTCAGTTTTTTTTCCCTGGACTTCGTTCCTACTTTATTAGCTTTGTTTCGGTGGTGTGGTAAAGTGTTGAGGGAATGAGAGTTTGCTCTTCAATAGGTTTTATTAAATTCGTTTATAGTCCATCTTGGCAAATCTAAATTAGTCCTTTGGACAATGTTTAGCTTTGAATGCTAATGGACTTACATCAAATGTCTCTCTTGACTCTTCTGTTCTCTTTATACTTTGTGGGGATACAGATCCGTTAAGATGAAACATTACAAGGCCTGCTTACAATGTTTTGTAAGTATATGTATCCAAATCATAGTTTTTTTTGTTAAAATAAAGTAGGATAAATAGCTTTCTGGGGATTGAATAAAAGAGATTGTTTTTCATCTTTCAACAGGTTTACTTATTGAATGTGTATAGTCCATCTTGGCAAACCTAAATAGTCTTTCAGACAATGTTTAGTTTTGAATGCTAATGGACTTACATCAAATGCTTCTCTTGACTGTTATGTGCTCTTCTACTTTGTAGAGATGCAGATCAATAGGGATGATACATTAATGCTTGCTTCAATTTACTTCAGTCCATCTTGGCAAACCTAAATAGTCTTTCAGATAATGTTTAGTTTTGAATGCTAATGGACTTACATCAAATGCTTCTCTTGACTGTTATGTGCTCTTCTACTTTGTAGAGATGCAGATCAATAGGGATGATACATCAATGCTTGCTTCAATTTACTTCAGTCCATCTTGGCAAACCTAAATAGTCTTTCAGACAATGTTTAGTTTTGAATGCTAATGGACTTACATCAAATGCCTCTCTTGACTGTTTTATGCTCTTCTTACTTTGTAGAGATGCAGATCAATAGAGATGAAACATTAAAGCTTGTTTCAATTTATTTATTTAATAGTTGAAGATCAATCTTTTGGTTGATTGTATGAAAGAAAAAGAGATTTCTCCTCCAACGGGTTATTTAATGAATGTGTGTATAGTCCATCTTGGCAAACCTAAATCAGTCTTCAAGACAATGTTTAGTTTTGAATGCTAATGGACTTACATTAAATGTCTCTCTTGACTGTTCTGTGCTTTTTATACTTTGTGGAGATGCAGATCAGTAGAGATGAAACATCGAGTTAGCTTATAAATAGCATCATAAATAGTTGAAAGTCCACGAGTTGAGATGGTTCCAATGAATGAAATTCCAGGATTAAGTGAAAATGATATTTATTAGTTTTCCCTTTTGGCAGAGCTCTCTCTAGTAGTTTGGTTGGTTTAGGATGTCTAGTTTTGAGTGCTCATGTTTCATTGACTTTCATCTTGTTAGGTGTCAATAAATGATTTGAGTCATTATGATGTATTAATGCCATTGTTTGTGTTGGGTGCAGCTGAGTTGTTTGTGAATGGAGAGATAGTTCAAAGGTCACCAGAGAGACAGAGAAGGGTGGAGCCACAGCCACAAAGAGCTCAAGATAGACCAAGGTATAATGATAGAACCCGCTTTGTGAGACGCAGAGAAAACATGAGGTGATGCATGCGTTCGATAAGTTGAGAAGATGTGCATACGACTGAAGAGAGGGGAAAGGGAATCTGGAATCAACGGAAAGGCAAATTGGAAAACTTGCAGCAATTGGAATCAATGAACTGAAGTATTTGCTATATATATATATATATATAATCAATCCCTCTGCTACGTAAAAGAGTGTGTCATGCTCAGTAGATGTTAACTTGGGTTGTTGATGAACATGGATAAAACTTTGCACATTTGAAGTTTATATTAACTACAACTATTCTTTGGCACAACGTAGCTCTGCAGTGGACTTGAGCAATGATGTAGGGGCAGAGGAACTGAGCAATGATGCTGGATTTGCCTAAGCCTTTGAAGTTTCATTTCTGTGCTTTCTATAATTTGCTACAACATATCCTTCATGAATAATATATAAATAATTATTATTATAATAAATAATTAATGAAGTTATAAAAAGCAACTTTTTTATATCATAATAACCTGAAAAATGAAGAAATTTTATAGAATATGTCAAAGATATATTAAAATTAATTATTATTTAATATCTCTTATAATTTTTTCATTCTTTCCTTGATTTAATATTTGAAACTTAAGATTTTAGATCTTTTTTTATTAAAAATGATAAAAAAAAAAAAAAAAAAAGTGGTTTTTTTTAAAAACTTTTATGTTTTTCTCTTGAATATATATATTATATATATAATATTTTCAAAATTACGAAAGCATTATCCAGCCCAACACCAGAAAGCTTATCCCTTTCTCCTTCAGAAACAAAAACCAGAGGCTTCTCAACTTACAGAGATAACGATAACAGAGAACTCCGCTCAGAAACAATGGCAGTTTCCGCAGTCTTAGGCTTTACGCCGGTCTGTTCTTCCGGTGTAATGGCGGCGTCGTCATCGAAACTTCACTTCAGAAGTAAAGCCAATCCCGAGCTAGGGTTTCTCTCTTCTCAATTGAGCGGCATCAAAATCTCCTCCAACCACTCGCTGATCTCCGCTTCACCCATTTCTGCTCCTCTCAGACCTGCGCTTCAACCTGTTGCTCGTAATCCCTTCTTCCTTACTATGCTTTGTTTTCTGGTATATGATTGTGTTCGACCCTTTTGCGCTCTGATTTCATGCCTGGATGTTCTTTTCTCATTCTTCATCTCAACCATTTTGTATTTGAATTAGGTTTCTAAATCAGCCAGATGCCTGATTGCTTTCTTAATCACTGTTTAACCAGTTGCGTTGGAATGTTGATTCGTAGCTGTTTTTTTGAGTGCGAATTGGGAATCATCTCAAACTTCGTTCGGTCATTTTCTGTTTCAGGTAGAGTTTGCCCCTTTACTGGGAAGAAAGCAAACAAGAAGAACTTGGTTTCTTTCTCCAACCACAAGACCAAGAAATTGCAGTTTGTAAATCTTCAATACAAGAAGGTTTGGTGGGAAGCCGGGAAGCGTTTTGTCAAACTACGCTTGTCAACAAAGGCTTTGAAGACCATTGAGAAGAATGGACTCGATGCTGTTGCTAAGAAAGCAGGAATTGATCTTCGTAAGGAATGATTACATAATTCATGCCTTTAATTTTACTCTTAGACTTCGAGGAAGATTTGTCTAATTGCACAACCATGTCGTATCCTGCTGGTTTTTGCCTATTCTTGTTGTTAGTAATCTGTTCATTTATGTCAAATTATTCTTGTATCTTTGCTTTCCTCCATTTGGCAATGAAGCTGAAATCCATCCCTTTTCCTTTCTGGGTTTCATGAATGATACACTTTTTTAGAAGTCCAGCCACACTGATTTTCTCTATGTGGACATGTCCCTCAGTTAAAGATTAGATCAAGAGAGTAGAGATTTGTTGATAGATAGTGTAGAGAGCTGCAAAGCCAGGCTCTAAGAACAGGCTATCATCAAATTAGGCATCACTTTTAGGTGACTCTAAAACCTCAAATTTGATCTCTGCATCTTTCCATTGCCCTTGAGAACAGCCAAGAACGGCTGCAGTGTGCTGTAGTTGATGAAGCAAGTAATAGCCCTGTGGGTATATTTTATTTTGCTGTCACAGGAGAAAGATCCTTCTCTGTGATGTGCAAAACTAGTAAGCTAAGAGATGCCAAGTATTTCAACCCATTTTGGTTACTCATATGCCTCTTTGAATCGTCTCTATGACCTCGAAGAGAAGCATTACATTTCTAACCAGTTCAAGGGTTCGTTTGGAATGTCTTTTTAAGTGTTTAAAAACCTAAACGTTTTAAACAGAGTATAAAGAGATTGAGAATGAATGAAAGTTGTTATTTAATGTTGGATGAAAATGAGTAGAGAGCTCTCTTATTTTACCGGTGGTAAGTGCTAAATCTCCATACCCACTTGTTATACTAAAAGAAACGAATTGTTTTTGCTAAATATATTTATCATATAAAAATACTAATATTTGGTGCCCCAAAATATACAAACAATGATTCATTAATTCGCTTTACAGATCAAACTGGTAAATTCTAATGCTGATGTTTCTACAAAAGAAAAGGGAGGGAAGAAAAAAGGAAAAGAACACAAAAAAGAAGATTGGCTAGAAGACTTTGTTATTTACACATTAATTTGTGGCAATCATCTAATACTAAAGTTCCTAATCCTGAAAAATAAAATGCAGCAGGAAAGATATTGAGTAAAACATTAGAATTAGGATAGCAAATTCCCACTTCTCTACATGTAAACCAATCCAGTGTTCATCATCTGAAAGGTTCAACCGGTGCTGACTCTTCAAGCAGAGATGCAGCCTCAAAGCATTCAGCAACCTCCAGCGCAGACGCCCCAACATCAGCTTTATACAGCAGCCCGAGACTGTACCAAGCAGAAGGGTTTGCTCGATCAAGTCGAAGGGCGTCGGTTAGCAAACTTCTTGCAACAGGAAATGACTGCCTCCCACCTAGCTGTTGGAGAAGACTGGCAGTGGATATCAAGCTGGGAACATGGCCAGGATCAATGTCCAATGCTTTGTTGTATGCTTGCAAAGCATCTCGTGGAAGACCCTTCGACTCATACAGTAAACCTACCAGATTCATCAAGCTATGAATTCATTATCGAACATTGAATTAAAGATATCAGGGTTCGAGGATGTTCTTGATTGATGCTTGGATGGAGCTACAAAGTACGAATGATGTTTTTTACCTGTGGAATGCCATTTGGAAGCAGAATACGGATTGATTTTCTGCAATTTTGACAGACATATCTCAGCATCCCGCCACTGAGACAAGCTTGTGTAGATATTGGCCAAGTCATGCCATGTATCAATTTCCAGACTTCTCTCAGATTTTCTCACATCCTGTATGATGGTGAAACAAAGGAATAAATGAATTAATTGTTAACAAAGGCACCAAATCATGTCTTAAAAGACAAGTATATTCAGTTTCCAAGCGAGGCGCCCGATACCAATCTTAATTCTCAGTGAAATCTCTTCAGAATTTAGAGTGAAGTCATTAGACGATCATATAATAAGATCACAAGAAGAAGCTTTGATCTGTCCAAATTCGAATCCCTTACCTTTGAAAGCATCTTTCCAACGCCACTACTTTTGGTCTGGACTTGAATTATAGCAAGAAGTTGAGTATATGTTTCTATACCATTCTTTAACTGGCCCTGTGCTATCTGGAGCTTAGCTTTAGTTCGTAAGAGTTCCCCCTGTTCCCACTTCCCTGTCTGCTCAAGAGCAGCATTGAGTACAGTCTCTGCATCGACAAATCGTTGCTGGGCAGACAATATTCTGGCCAAGAGTAAGTAAGACTTCAGACTAGA